CTTGAGTCAGGTAATTCTGACCGATGAAGGGTAATGACCCAGAAATACGCGTGTCTCAGAGTTCTAATGCCAGTAATAAAAATTGGTTACTTAAAGTTGGCGAGTAACATAATTGTTTCGTTGAGTGATAAAGTGGAAGCGTCCACAAATTCGCCAGGCGAAACAAACCAGGGTTAGTGAATCTTGGGCGAGATCAGAGTACACCCATTTACTAATAGGAAGTGTCCACAAATTCGCCAGACGAAACAAGCCAGGGTTAGTGAATCCTGCGCGAGATCGGAGTACACCCATGTACTAATATACGCTCCTTGTTTATAAATGATAATTTCTCGTGATAGATTTAAGTTAGTGCTCAGAAGTTGGTCTGTGAACTGATATCTTGTAGGGGCTGGACTTGTTTAAATGGCAAAAGAATGTTAATATGCCTCCTCTATTTAAATAAGTAATTATAGAAAGTTCTTGACAGTTTTTTATCCTACCAGGAATTTGGCGTTGCTGCGTTTATTATTGGTCAAGGTACTTAGGTTGTGAAAATATCTAGATTCCGTAGTACGCATTTCTGTCTCTCACCCCAGTTCATCATAAAATGTTTCAGGATTTATACAAGGATTTGCCTAAATGTTATCCAGGGACAAGTTTTGACTAGTGCTCACTCCACTAACAAATCCTGACACTCAGTATAGTTTAATTATAGAGAGGGAGGACCATTTCTCAGACCTGGAGATGTTGCATTTTAAACTGATTCGCTTGAATTTAAGTAAGCCGAATCTTACTGCTCATTCGATTTCAAAAAGAAGTTAACCAATAATAGAATTATTAAAAATTCTGCGCACATGGTTAGAAGTTATCTGCGTGTCGACGACGGTGACTGAGCTTGTGGTCCTCCCAGCCTCTTTCCTACAAACTTGGCTACAAACAAGATGGAATACTCCATCTGTTTAATGTGATACCCCTACGGTATGGCAGGGGAGTGAGAATACTCTTCTAAGAAAAGTATATATATCTGTGCTGTAACCCCAACTCCAAAACAAAACTTAACCCTAAGCTTAACAGCAACCTTAATCACGCTATAAATCGGCGTAGCGTACTCTAAATGGAGAGAATTCGTATTTTAGTGGCAGGTCGCTCCCATCGAGCAAAATTTTGCGTCCTTTGTAACGAATATAGAAAGTCGCGCTCTTTCATTTTGAAAATCAGGTCCTTCCAAAGGTCTTCCGATAAAAAGCAACGAATAAAGAAGGAGCAAGTGTTGCACCATAAAATTCAATGGATGTATGGATGAATGGATGTATCTTCTCATGCCTCCATCACTAGACCATTTAAGTTATGTAAATAGTTGAACGTTTGGAATACTGACTAAAAGTCTTCTGTGGATGATGTGAGTTTGCGTTTAACAGCTGAAAACTCATATCACATCACAGGTGGACTTCGGGTAGCTGTGACAGTTTTCCTTCAAACATAAGAATATATTTTATATTCCCTAGTCCCTCATTACAAATGTTCCAGTTATTCTATACAACCTCTTTCAAGTCAGAACATGTTATTTCTTGTCTAGGAATATTACGACAAAAGGTTCGGAGATTCAAATGTCTTTGTTCTTAAAGACTCAAGAAAGGTGAACAGCCAAGACTTGGACGAAAGTAAGGTATCGGACTTCTTATCGGACTTGTTTCTAGTTTCGTTCTGTGATGTTTTACTCAACAGATATTCCATGTTTTAGCTCTACATTCAAATAACCTATGTCGAACCATATTACTCTCAGTCGGAGGCTCGCCAAAAAGCAACCATCTTCGGGCGAAACTACGGCATTAGTAAGCTATATGTGTTTCAACATTGACATACATAATTCTGATTTGTATTCTGTTGAAAAAGAAGGTTTTTATGTCCAGAGAAACTTTATGAATTCGAAGGCAGCAATCCGCCTATTTCTTTGCCTACAGCGCAATCGCAAATTCTTAGGAGACAATCTTAGACGCAACAAACGGCCGTTGTCATAGAAAACAGTCGCCACGCAATCAACTCAGCTAAACAACGGACCAGATTTTCATTTGGACGATTGGCTAAATCAAGGGAATATGTACGAATATCCCACCCGCCATCTTTTGTTAAAACGACGCCACTGGAGTAACTGCATCCAATTCCAAAGTTTGAAATATCTTCTTTTATCAGAACACCGAACTGAACCAGGTAGTTAGCTAGTGTCACGCGAGAAGAAATATCCTTGACTCGATAGAAAGTGACGTTTTGCATGTGGTTTAAATTGCAATGAGATAGACTTGTTTAGTGTGGTGTTTATTCTCTTCTCCAACCTACCCTTCCAGACGGAAAAGCATGTTCGAAAAATGCAAGAGGGACTAGCCTGGCCGGTTCTGGCTTATGAGCCGTCATCAGCCAACCTCAAAGGTTGGGTACGGTTGGATGATGACGATATAACAACCCGAAATGGCCATTTCAGTCTCTTTTACCTTTTAACGCAATGTTCTACATATACAGGGTGTCCCAGAAGTAACTGACCCTTTTGCTTTGCCAATAAAACGAAAACTATTAACTCAAGGATATTGAAACTTGTTTTGTTCGAAAGAAAAACCTTTGCATGCTTTATTAGAATTAGGTTTTGAATATAATGTCTTTTAAATTATGCCCATGGTTGTTTTGACAACTTAGGGTTCATTTCTTTGTCTTCTCCGTAACGCTCCTTAGTGTATCAGGCGATAGTTGTCTTATTGCAGAACA